TCCTCTCACCTTCCTCCATACCTACCACCATGGCGCTACAGCCCTCCTCTGCACTCACACAATTGATCGGCCACACAGCAGTCTCCTGGGTGCCCATCACCTTGAACCTCCTGGTCCATGTCGTGATGTACTGGTACTACTTTCAGAGCGCCCGCGGCATCCGCATCTGGTGGAAGAAATGGGTCACCATCCTCCAGATCGTGCAGTTCGTCATTGACTTGGGTGAGTAATACTTTAACAACGCCGCTCCACTCCAACAAATCAACCAAAGCTATATATACACTAATACACCCATCAGGATTTGTGTACTTCGCCTCCTACACCTACTTCACCTCCACCTATTTCCCTTACATGCCCAACGCCGGCAACTGCGCCGGCGAGGAATTCGCCGCTTTCTCCGGCCTAATCATCCTCTCCTCCTACCTCCTTCTCTTCATCTCATTCTACTTCGCCACCTACAAGAAAGCAGGCAAAAGTGGCCGCCCACGTAGAAACACTGGAAAACAGGCTGTCATCGATATGCGCAATCTGGAGATTCCTTCGGTTGGCGGGAAACCTACTTCTAGCACCACGACGAAGACCAATGGCGTTGCTAATGGCAATGGCTATGCCCACCTCGAGAATGGCTCAGCGACCTCCACAGCGCGTTCGAACGGGGGCCCCGTCACCCGGTCCAGAAAGGCCTAGTTAGGTTAAAAGCTAAATTTATCTCATGGCTATCTTTTGGAACACCCCAACGAAGAGAAAAGAAGGTAAATAGAGGGTATTGAACATAGGCAAGCAAAATGGCGAATACCGGCATAAAAGATATGAAACAATATTGGTCGAGGGAAAAAAAGAAGAAGCTCTAATACTTCCCTTAATTTTTCTTAGCCCGACGCACACTATGCTCGCCAGCCGCAAATCGCCAACCGCCATTCAACGAGTGCGGGTCTTTTGTCGTTCGATCTTCCTCATTTTTCCCCCTTTTTATATATTTATATTTACATACGTTTTTTTTTTTTTTTTTTTTTTTTTTTGGGTCAAAATCTAATTAATCAACCTTTGTTGCTTTCCATCTGGCCACATTGGATGAGATTAATCCCATGCCCTTGCTCCAGAGCTCTTTTCCTGGGTTTTGTTTGTTTAGACAGAAGTTGAAACAAACATAATTATTATAATCCTAGGCACACACATGTGTCCCCGCTGTTTATCTACTTAAGAAAAACACCGCGACGTTTGTGGGCTACCGAAACCCAACTCTGACTACTCATACTTGTAGTAACGGTCTTTTTGTTGTACCGACATCGGTCTGACGGATATT